CATGCAATTGCAGAAACAAACACACATTGAAACAATATCTTCACTCGGAAGAAAACATCATATTCTATAAACATTATGGCACATTCACTCATACCAAAAATGTCTCTTAACAGCCCAACATTTAGTAAATCTCAGTTACTATTCAGGATCCCAGTTACTATCCAGGATTTCTCCGAGTTTCGATGGTGCAAAACACAATTCAGTGAGCTACGATAAAATTTCATGAGTTGTATAACACTGTAAAACCGCGATGGCACGCAAAACAAATCTGTTACTAACCATCGTTAGCGTTTCGGATCAGATTGATGAGGACGTTATCGATTTTGGGAACATTCACTCTGATCGATTCTCGAAAGAAGAACAGAATTTGTTGACGTGCCTCGTTGTGCAGTCGTGGATACAGTTCAAACAGTACCATGTTCACGTTGCACAACGCACAGAACCACGAACCATTCGCAACCAACGTCAGTGCATCATAATACTGCAATCAATTTCTAACGTTCAACTTCTTCTGTCCAAAATTGGTTTCATGTTTTTCGACTTTTTCAATCACACAAATGAATGTCAACAAAATTCACATAAACTCACACCATACGAAATGAACTTCGAACAATTAGATTATCGTTTTATGAGTGGTTTCTTGACGATAGGTTTACTCTAAAAATTTTTTCGAACGACAAAAACATCATCAGATTCATTCTCACCTTACTTGCATTCACCGGATCCGAAAGGACACCATACAGTAAACCACCGATAACAACTTCGTACATCTGGAATGCAATGAATTCACTCAAGTCATACGACATTAACTGTATTTTCAAAATTTTTATAGCTGTAAAGATACTGTTTGAAAACGACACTGAAATTGAAATTCCGACTGAAATTTTTCAATCGCTATAGGAAAATTTGCAGTTTCCAGAAAATAAAAACGTGAAAACCTTTGCGTCAGCGACTGCTTGCAAAAGTTGATCGTGCGCCTCGCGTTCATGTAAGTTACCCATTCGGCTGAGCACAATTGCGAAGCCATTTTCGAGTTTCTGAAATTTGATTCGGATTAAAGAATCGATGTTTCATTCATTTCGATTCATATATTCAAGAAAGCTGCCTGGATATTTTGTAGACTGCAATTGAAACTGCTCATTGAAACAAAGCAATAGTGATCGTTCAAATGAATATTGCAAATAATGAACGAATTGTATGTTCAGCTTATAATGATTCCTGAAACCATAACGCTCCCCAGCTGACCACAGTTCTGGTCAATAATGGACAAAACTTTACTCAGACTACTCAGAACTGATCATGAACTTTTACTGGTGTGACTCTTATCGTTAGTTTCGGAAAACGGTTAAGCTTCGCTGCCTAAACGTAGAATCGTGTCTGAGTCTGAGCACAAATTCACTAGCTCTTCTTCTACAAGCCATGATGAAGAAACAATATTTTGTGACTAATACAACAACCTGTTCGAGTTCGTCTTGTTGCTCGTGTAAGCCAAGATTCAACAATTTCCCCGGTTTCTTGGCTATACTCGAACCTTCCATTTCATGGAACTGAAAATAAATTATTTACAAAACTATAACCAAAACTGATCGAATTTCATCACGTAGCATTTTCATACATTCGCGTTGTAGCATACAATTCGTACGGAATAACGCATTCAAGAATTACAAGCTATCTTCAGGCCATGTTTCTCAACAAATCAGTACCAAGAAAAACTGATATCGGGCGCCACCGCGCCGTTATCACAGATACTCGTGTGTTCATACGCTTCATACATAAGTCGAAGCTTATGCGCTGGCCTCATCACT